CATTACATTGCCCTCAATGTGAAAAATAAAGGTTTCAAAAGGCTTATTTTGAAGACAATTGCAAATTAGAGTTAGCAAATGAGTGAAATAAACTCCCCTGATCAATATGGATGTGGTGGTGGGCAAATGTTTCCTGCTGTACCATCATCTGGAGGTGGAGGTAGGCGCGCTAAAATCTCTCTCATCATTGCTGACTGTTGTGCCATCTCCTCTTGGATTCTGCCAACACGTGTCTCCATTTAGCCCAGACGTTCCCAAGTCTCATTCACTCGCAACTGGATGCCATCCACCCGGCCCACATATATACTTAGTCGACCGTTCATAGTTTTCCCTCTTGGCTGCCTCTGAATCCAGGTAAGCGACTCGTGTCATATCAGTGCCAATGCGAATGTCACGTCGGGCTGTCTGCATGTCAGTCATCAAAGCCCCCATAGTTTGCTAGAGACCCTGTGTGTCGCAGCTGGTTCCCGTGGTGGTAGCGAATATCTGACGCCACAACTGTGTATTCACCTCAATATGTGGTGGTGGAGCTTGTGGCATTTCTTGATCTGCAGGCACCTGACCCTGCTCTTCCTGTTGCCTACGACGCTCATTCTCTTGCTTCTCTCTGTACTTTATCCTGGCTCTATCTTGAGCTTTCGGTGTACTACGCTTTATAGGAAGGTTGGGTTTAGCAGGTGCTTCCCCTGGTGTAATATTGATGCGAGCAGCCATGCATATGCCGGAGATGAGGCTGGGAAAAATCATTGAATTGTGCTTGTCTCCTAGAGTACCCACGTGATGGATCTGATTATAGCAGAGAGTAGCGAGATTGACCTTATTTCCTCGCACCAAGTGATAGATGAACCTGGCTGTGGGATCTATGAATGTGGTCCTATGCGATGTCGGTTCAATGTTATGGCACATAAACAGCCACAAGATGGCTATTATAGATGGTGTCACCTTAATCTGGTGCCATGTAGTGGTGGGGAGTGGCCATGCATTTTGTTGCCCCAATAGGATCTCTGCCACTTCATTCCAATTGAAATCGCTCGGGATGGGGGTTATGTTGTCTCATGTGAGCTGATAGTAGTCATGAATTACTTCTGGTGAAAACATAATCCACTGTCCCCTGACCCATGTCTGATGCAAGTGGTCGAACCCTGGTGTGTCGATCTCTGCATTGAAATTTGCGTAGAATTCTCCCACCAATGATTCATAGATCCGATGTGGTTGCTCTACTACCTTTTCCCACCCACAGTTATTCACCAAGGTGATCAACTCAAAACTTGGAAAATTCTCTAATTTAACCGCTCGCTCTGGTGTTACTATCCACCGACTCACAATATTTTCATAGTGGACTGCTGCCTCGGAATTAAAAAATCTTTGTATCTTGCCTTCAAGAGCTCAAGTACGGGCTGTTCCGGAAGATGAGCCAACTTCTTCTTTCCCTTTCGATGTTCGTTTTGGAGGCATCCTGCAAAATTGCAAAAATAGTATTCATAAAACTTCTTGTTGAAAAACAGTTAATAGAATGAGATTAGTGAGGCACGTATTTTACAAATCCCTCAAACTCGCTTCAACATCCATGTATAACACATTGGTGTGCAATATTCAAAACATGATATTCAAGATAGTATAAATATTGCGCCAATAGGAAGAACTAGAAAAAATTGGCCCAAACATGTACATTTATAAAAATTTGATCCATGATCGAGTGCGCACTTTCAACCTCGGGCATCGTCGAGAAACATCAACTTTTTCCAAGCAATCTCCAGGCATACGGAAGAATTCAATGAGGTCTAGTACATACTCAATTTTCAAATCAATTGGATGTCGTTTGGTGTGTCAAATGATGGTGTAAAGTAGGGGACGTAGGGTGCCTTGACCTAGTCATGTGCCTATGTGTTGCTAAAATGAATATGGATGTTTTTCAAGGTCTTTCGTGAGATATCACATTATTTGATTACTATTCATATCAATTGTGATGCATGACAGGGATAAAATTCTCTAAATTGCATGAATCCCGTCACTTTGGCATTTAATCGATCATATTGCGTGCACTATGATATGTTTCGTATTTTGTCTTTTGAGGTGTTATTATGTATCTCCCACATTCACATGTTAATTCAAAACATAACATAACATAACACTCATTCTTCGCCAATTAATGAAAGTTAAGATAATGCAAATCTCAAAATTCGAAAGTTGTAGAGTAGAGTGCAAGGCACTTACCTTGAAATCTTGTGTAGAATTGTAGGAGTGGGAGTCTTTACTCACTTTAATGCGTGATGGAGCAAGATTTGTGTGTGGTTTTTGAGTTGATTTCATGGGTTGAGGGATTGGGAGTAGTGTGGGTGCTCGTGTGTGCGTGGGTGTTAGAGATACGCGAAGGGGGAGGGGAGGGAAGTGATTGAGAGTGAACCAGTCATGGGTTAAATCCATGACTGATTCACTACTATGCGACCGCATAGTTATATCATATGTGGTTGCATAGTGATAGAGTTTTCTCCAAGATTTGGTGTATATGCGACCGCATAGACGCCATGTCTATGCGATCACATAGATACTTTTTTTTTAAAGATCAAAATTAAACAAAAAAAATCAAAATTAAACAAAAAAAAATGAGATACAAAAATTGATTTCCCCTCCCAAAAAACACGACCTTAATCAAATTTGGACTCTCAAGTACACATTGGCCCTTTAAATTTTTGAAAACGTCCTTTTATCTTGAAATGCGTGAATTATACTCCAAATCTCCCAAAACCATTTCAAGCTTACCGAACATGTGTTCTATGCATAGGAATTTATGTGAATGGTGCTTAGACTCTATTGACATGCCTGGATGATCGATGACCTAACTAAAAATGCAGACGTGAATGTTTCCTAAGCTAATGCAAACGACGATTAAACGAAATAAAGGATACAGTGGGTTGCCTCCCACTCAGCGCTAGTTTATAGTTTATAGTTCGACTCCTCCACGTCTACTTCACTTAGGCGTTCCGAGTTGGACGGTGAACTTTTGTTTTGAGAAGTCCCCGCCCCAGTAGTATTTCAGCCTTTGCCTACTAACTGTGAATGTTCCTTTTGTTTCATGGCTGACCTGTATAGCTCCATATTACAGAACTTTAGTGACAGTGTAGGGGCCCGACCACCTTGATCTTAATTTTTCAGGGAAAAGCTTGAGCCTCGAGTTATATAACAGGACTTTTTGCCTTATCTCAAAATCTCGTCTCTGAATGTGTAGATCATGCCACATTTTGGTGCATTATTTGATAAGCTTGGAGTTTTTATATGCTTCCATTCTTAATTCATCTAACTCGTTGAGTTACAATAAATGCTTTTCACTGACAGCTTTCAAATCTATGTTCAATTATTTCATAGCCCAGTATGCCCGGTGTTCTATTTCCAGTGGAAGGTGACATGCTTTGGAGACATGCCTATCGGTGTCTTGAATGCTGTCCTATATGCCCACAATGCATCATCCAACTTTTTTTACCAGTCTTTTCGGGATGAATTTACTGTGACCTCCAATATTTTGTTCAGCTGTCGATTGGACACTTCGACTTGCCCATAGCTTTGTGGATGATATGGGGTTGTAACTCGGTGTTTAACCCCATATTTACTCAATAATTGCTCAAATGGGCGATTACAGAAATGTTTGCCTCCATCACTAATTATTGCCCGCGGTGTGTCATATTCGGTGAAGATGTATTTCTTCAAAAACTCAATTACTACCTTCGCGTCATTCGTTGGCAATGCAACTGCCTCCACCCATTTTGACACCTAATCAACTGCTACCAGGATATACTGATTTGAAAATGATGGGGGAAACAGTCCCATAAAATCAATCTCCCAAACATCAAGTATCTCTACTTCCAATATGTTATTCAGTGGCATCTCATTTCTTCTTGAAATGTTCCCAGTGCGTCGACATCTATCACACCTCTTAACATATTCAAAGGCATCTTTGAACGATGTAGGTCAATAGAACCTGACTGTAAAATCTTAGCTGCAGTCTTTGACGCCCCCAAATGTCTCACATATGCAGATGAGTGACAATGTTCAAGAATTTCAAGCACTTCATCTTCAGGAATACACCTTCTAACAATCTGATCAGCCCCTCACCTATAAAGAATAGGATCTTACAAAAATTAATTTTTCAGCTCAGCGAAGAACTTCTTCTTCTGGTGACTTGAGTAATCTGGCAGTGGGATTGAGCTAGCCAAATAATTGATGATATCTGCATACCATGGGGCTTATTCTGTACTGAACATCTACTCATCTGGAAAAATTTCATTGATTTCTACTGATGTTTCTTGTTCTTCTTGTTCTAATCTTGATAGGTGATCTGCTACCATATTTTCACTGTCCTTCTTGTCCTTAATTTCAATGTCAAATTCTTGCAATAGCAATACCCAACGGATCAACCTGGGCTTGGCATCCTTCTTTGTTATTAGATACTTCAATGCAGCGTGATCTGTGTAGACTATGACCTTAGACCCCACGAGATATGATCTGAATTTGTCAAAGGCATAGACCACCGCCAAGAGCTCCTTCTCAGTGGTCGCGTAGTTGATCTGGGCATCATTCAATTTTCAGCTTGCGTAATATATTACATGGAAAATCTTGTTCTTTCGCTGCCCCAATACTGCACCTACAGCATGATCACTAGCATCGCACATTAACTCGAAAGGCAACTCCCAATTAGGTGCTACAATTATTGGCGCCGACGTGAGTTTCTCCTTTAGAGTGTTGAAAGCTTTCAAAAATTCCACATTAAATTCGAAGGGCACGTCTTTAATTAACAGATTGCAGAGGGGCTTGGTGATTTTTGAAAAATCTTTTATGAATCTCCTGTAAAATCCAGCATATCCCAAGAAGCTGCGAACCCCTTTAACTAATGTTGGTGGTGGTAACTTTTCAATAACTTGAATCTTTGCTTTGTCCACCTCAATCCCTTTTGCTGAGACCCGATGCCCAAGTACGATCCCCTCTTGCACCATGAAGTGATATTTTTTCTAGTTTAATACTAAATTGATTTCCTTGCATCTTTGAAATACCATATTCAAGTGTTCCAAACACTCGTCAAACGAAGACCCGAAGATCGAGAAGTCATCTATAAATATCTCAATAAATTTCTCTACCATGTCTAAGAAAATTGCCATCATACAACGTTGAAAAGTGGCAAGGGCGTTGTAAAGACCGAAGGGCATCCTGCAGTATGTGAAAGTACCGTAAGGGCACGTGAATGTAGTTTTCTCTTGATCGTCTGGTGCCACTGGTATCTGATTGTAACCCGAATACCCGTTGAGGAAGCAGTAATGTGAGTGACTTGCCAATCTCTCCAACATTTGGTCTATAAAAGGAAAGGGAAAGTGATATTTCCTTGTTGTTGCTTTGAGTTTGCGGTAATCAATACAAACCCTCCATCCTATGACTGTTCTGGTTGGTATCAACTTATTCTTCTCATTGGGCACTACCGTTATTCCTCCTTTCTTTGGCACCATCAGAACTGGGCTAGTCCATGCACTGTCTGATATCTGATAGATGATTCCAGCGTCTAGAAGTTTGAGTACCTTTGCTCTGACCACTTTCTTCATGTTTAGATTCAACTTTCGCTGACTTTCTATGGTTGGCCGGAAGTTCTCTTCCATGAGAATCTTGTGCATGCACAGTGAAGGGCTAATTTTTTTGATATCTGCTATGGTCCATCTAATTGCTGTCTTATTTTCCCTAAGTACCCTAAGCAGTTTCTCTTCTTCCACTTCGCTAATTGTGTTTGAAATGATCACAGGGAGTGTACAGGATTTACCCAAGTACGTATATTTGAGGTGTGGTGGTAACTGCTTGAGTTCTAGTTTCGATGGCTGCTGAATAGATGGTAGTGGTTTCGTAGGTCCTACTCCAAGCTCCTCAAAATGCCTTTTTCGCGTATAAGGTAGGTTGGTATCCAGAAACCTTGCACAAGTTTTCATCTCCATTGAATCGGACTGCATTGACTGCGAATGTACGATGCAAGCTTCGTATGCATCTGATGGGTTGTGTAGCAAAAATGAGTCTTGGATTACCTTGTCAATCGTGTCGATCTGGAAACAACAATCTATCTTTGTAGGTAGTTTCATTGCCTTGAAAACATTAAACGAGATCTGCTCTTCTCCCAGTCTCAATATCAGTTGCCCATGCTGAACATCGATCAAGGATCTTCCTATTGGCAAAAATGGTCTGCCCAGTATCAATGGAATATCCTTGTCTTCTTCCATGCCCAAGATCAGGAAATCCGCAGGGAATATGAATTTTTCCACCTGAACAAGCACATCTTCAATTATTCCCCTGGGATATGTTAACGATCTGTCAGCCAGCTGGAGCGTTACAGTAGTCGCCTTAGCCTCTCCTACGCTAAGTTTCCTAAAAACAGATAGAGGCATTAAATTAATACTTGCACCAAGATCACACAGAGCTTTATCAAAATGAACTTCACCAATAGTGCAAGGAACAGTAAAACTCCCTGGATCTTTCAATTTTAGTGGGAGCTTTTTCTGAATTCTGGCGCTGCATTCCTCTGTTAGCATTATTGTTTCATGATCCCCTAGCTTGCGTTTATTTGATAATATGTCCTTCAGGAGCTTTGCGTGGCTAGGCATCTGAAATAATGCATCGGCGAGTGGGATGTTGATGTGGAGTTTTTTGAAAACTTCAAGAAATTTCTTGTATTGCTGCTCTAACTTCTGCTTTTTCAGCCTCTGTGGAAAAGTTATGGGAGGTTCGTGAGGGTTAACAATTGCTTTACTCTGTGTTTTGTCCGGTTTTTCAGCTGGGGCGGATTCCTCCATCTGTTTATCATGCTCTATAGGTTATTCTATAGTTGAGAATTCTGTTTCTTAATTTGCACCTAGCCTTTTTACATGAATTTCTGGTAGTTTCTTTCCAGTTCGAGTTGTAATTGCCTTAGCGTGCTCCTTCTGGTTTATTTTCGTGTTACTTGGCAAGTTTCTCGGTGCTCTGCCAGTTAATACTATAGCTAATTGTCCCACCTGAGTTTCCAAATTTCTGATAGCTGCATTTTGGTTTTGAAGTGTAGTTTCAGCATTCTCCATGAATTTTCCTATCATTTCTTCCAATTGAGGTTTCTTCTATTGCTGTTGAAATTGTCCATGTGGCTTGTTTTGATTCTGGTTACTCCAAGAGAAGTTGGGATGCTTCTTCCAACTCGGATTAAATGTTTTTCCATACGTGTTATTTTGTTGCTGCTGTCCCCATTGAGCATAATCTACTTGCTCTGCTCCTTGTACCAAGATTGGACATTCTGCTGTTACATGCTCAGCTCCACATTCTTCACAACTGGCCTTTTTCGACTATGTTCCGTTAGCTGATTGTGTCATGTTTTCTACCTTGTGAAATAATGAATCAATTTTTGCTGACAATGGGGAATAGACGTCTACTTCATAAACCTCCGGTGTCTTCTTCTGAACCGCTCGTTCCGATGTCCACAGAGCTGAAGTGGTGGCCATGGTCTCGAAAAGTTTCAGCGCCTCATCCATTGTCTTTGTGGACAGTGATCTGTTCGATGATGAGTCAACCATGCTTTAAAGGATGGAAGTAATCCCGCATAGAAGTATTGGACTTGAAGTCCCTTGCTAATGCCGTGGTGTGGACACTTTCGCAGCATATTCTTGAACTGATTCCAGGCTTCATCGAAATTTTTCGAGTCTTCTTGGCGAAAAATAGAGATGTTGTGCTTGAGCTTCGCGATCTTAGCAGGTGGAAAGAACTTAGTGTAGAATTTTTGTGCTAGATCATTCCATGTGGTGATACTTGCGATTGGTTGCGAATCCAGCCATTCAATTGCCTTGTTGCGCAGTGTATGTGGGAACAACCTTAATCTTATTGCATCGTCTGAAATTCCTTGATATCTGAAGTGTTGACACATCTCCAGAAAATGAGAAATATGTGTGTGTGGATTCTCTTCAGCCCTTCCATAGAATTGATGACCGTTTTGAAATAATTGTATCACATCAGTTTTCAGTTGGAAGTTTGGTTGTCCAAACGGTGGGTGTACAATGCTTGACTGGCTTTGAATTATTTGAGGGGTCATGAAATCTCCCACGAGTATATTTCCTTCATCCGCTGCCCCTTCTTCATTAGCCGAAAAAATGGGATTATTCTGCACGTTAGCCATTCGTTGATGTGCCTCTCTGTTTTCTCGCTGTCTTCGATGGAAAGTTCGTTCGATTTCTGGATCAGCTAGCATCAATTCTCCTTCAGCAGATCTTATCATGCAAATCTGCAAGAAGAGTTAATAGGAGTGCTTAGATGTTAAAATGAAATAATAACTAAAACAAATCAAAATGATGTAAATATGAATGTCCGAATTAGTGCCAATTTAGATAAAATTAAACAAATACTCAATCCTCTGCAATGGTGTCAAAAACTTGTTCACGAGATATTTTCTTTCAGTTAAGATCACCGCAAGTGTACGGTTCATTAACAAGTAATAAAGTGGATTTTTAGAGTCCGAATATAGTCCCACAGAGATTGAATAGTTCAATTTTACCTAGTATAGCCTTAACCGAAACGAAATTACTCAATATGAATATCTACCTAAATAAACTCTAATTTTAGAAAGAAAGCCCTAATTTTATGAAAACCCTAATTATGCAAAATTGAAGATTGGAATGAATTCAAATATGCAAAACGATATTTTAATGAATTAAAATGCAAATTATATGTTAGAGTGCGAATTGGTTGTATTCAATGGAAATTAAAAACACTATAATCACGATTTCCATGCAATTATCACATTAATCCTAATTTCAAAATGTGACAACACACTTAAATTATTGACGAATCAGTGCTCCATCAAATCCATCAACAATTGAACGAATTTAAGCCATAATTAAATTATTTTACTCGTAATTTAGTAATATTTGTGCATTAAATAAGTGCACAAAAACACACTTATCATGTATCATCTGAAGAGTAAATATACTTAATAAAAAATATGAACAATATGTTGCACATTATTTCAATATACTAGATCATAGAATGGACCTATATGCTGAAATTCAGAATAGAAGATAAAAATAGTTTAAAAGATCTAGATATATATTACAATATAAGAAAAATAATTTCATTAAGGGCAATATATACTTTTCAATGGATAAATTAAAAGGAAATAAAATTAGGCCAAATAGAAAAATCTCCCCTGTATAGAATCCATTATTAAGGCTTGAAGCTTTAAAAATATAACATCCACCCATGCCTCTAATGAATATAAAAAATTTTGGGGCTCAAAACTTAAAAGAAATCATTAATTCAAGAGGAAACTAAGCCAGCCCAGCAAGTTACTTATTAAATTCAACAATTACTGTTTATTCTTTTTTATTTAGCCCTTGTTTGATTACCGATTATTTATAAAATATATTTTTATCTCTTCTTTTTAATTACGCATTTTCAGTAAAATAATATTATATACAAAGTCAAAATTTTTCCTATTTTTAATTACATATTCTTTATTAATCTACTACTTCAAAATATATTATTCAATAAAAATGGGGTCAAACAGCCACAGGCGCTAATATTAATTACTTTTTCTATTAAAATTCAGACAGGCTTGCAGACAATCATGGATTGGGATGGGAGGATCAGATTCCGAAGTCGATGAAGGAGTGGATTTCAACAAAACAATCGTCATTGTGCCTAGGGATGGATCTAGGAATTAGTTAGAAGGGACTTAGCCCTGTTTGAACCTCATTTTTTGAAAAAAAAAAAAAAAAATTAAAAGTATTTTGATATCATTTCAATCACACGTTCTTCAATAAAATAATATTACACGTAAATCTAAATTTTTTTCTTATTTTTTAATCATACATTTCTCATAAACATATTATTCAAAAATTTATTTTTATGAAAAAAATGGGGCTCAAACGGGGGCTTAAATAGTGATGAACCGACATGTTATCAGTGTTGACATTTCAGAGATGTTACATGATGTATTTCCTTTTTTTTTTTTTTTTTTTTTTTTACAGTCGAACACATTGATGATATGTCAACACTTCAACACTACAATAATAATACAAAAATTCAAAGAAAAGCTAGCAGTGCGACCACAGTTAAATAATGAACGATAAGGCAACAACAATCCGATAATTTCATTTCATTATAAACTCTTAGCAATACATCGAAAAAATAGTGACAAAGAGCATAATATATTTAGCCCCTGGTTAGTAGAAATTATAATTAAAATCTTAATCTAAGTCAGAAGTAATAATTAATCTTTATAATATATTTTATGAAATTTACGACTTTTCAACCATATATTTCATCAACTTTTATCAAAATTTACTAAACAATTTATTTTAATCTTACCGGGGGCTTAAAGTTTTGACGAAGCCCAATATATTTGCTTCGTGGGTGTAAATTTTATTTCCTTGGATCACTAATCCAACGTCAACACACTGTCCTTACTGAATACATTTAAGATTTGCTGCATCATGTTCGCTTCAAATGCTGTCTTCTATTTTTTAGTTAGAAAAAAATAAATAAATAATATATATATATATATATATTACAAATGTTCCACATGCCATCCTGATTTGGATTATATTCACCAAATTTTAGTTAGTCATATTCATTGAATGCAAAGGAATTCATAAAGCATATTTGAGCTATTAATTTATTATAATTTTAATTTAAAGGGTTGAACTCTGAAGAAGGGGAAAAAAAATAACATTACACTGATAATAAAAATAAATATACAGTTCCAAGTTTCAAAGATGACAAATTCTGTACTTTGCTATTTTTCTCTATATATATATATATATATATATATATAGTGTTGATAACCAATTTAGTCAAATCTAAATATTAACAGTTGCATTATGATATAATTTTGTGAAAGTCTTACTAATTATTGAGTAAAAAAGTATTGTAAGTTGGCTTGTTAAAAACTTCATTAATCATAAAAAAAATCTTCAAATTGTTAAATAATAATTATTGGAAAGCTGACTGCTTCAACAAAATGAACCCAATCTGCTGCCCCTAATACATTTTTCGACACATCGACGTCTTCCCATTTGCTTAAAAAAACATTATTTGCCGAAGTGTTATAATTGTATTGACGAACAGCAAATCTCACCTCCAACAAAATTAAGTTATATAAAGAGGAGACATCATATGTTGAGCCATACCATATGCCAAGATCAGAAGTGCCCACTAATGTCGAAGCCAAGGTAATCCTCTCACCCTCTTTGCTTCTTTATTTGGATCTTGAGAATCTGTCACCAAAAAGTGATTGTGATTCTTCAGGTTGGAGGGTAAAGTGGCAATTATAACCGGCGGTGCCAGCGGCATTGGTGAAGAGGCAACCAGATTATTTGCAGAGAATGGAGCTTCAGTCGTGGTGGCCGACGTCCAAGATGAATTGGCCCATCGACTCATTGCGTCCATTGGCTCGAACGACAGAGTAAGTTATTACCACTGCGACGTAAGAGACGAAAAACAAGTCGAAAAGATGGTTTCCTACACTTTAGAAAAATATGCAAGTCTTGATATATTGTTCAGCAATGCTGGAATCATGGGCCCTTTAACCAGCATATTGGAACTTGATATTCAAGCCTTTGACAACACCATGGCTATAAATGTGCGCGGTGTTGCCACTACAATAAAGCATGCCGCGCGAGCAATGGTAGCGAGAAAAATTAAGGGGTCGATAATTTGTACTGCGAGCGTGGCAGCGTGCCTAGGCGGAGGCGGCCCTCATGCTTACACCATATCGAAACATGCTATAGTGGGACTGGTTCGAACGGCTTGTAGCGAACTTGGTGCGCATGGAATTCGAGTGAACTGTATTTCGCCTTTTGGGGTGGCGACGCCTCTTTCGTGCAAGGCTTATAATCTTGAACCGAGTCAAGTTGAAGAGAATACTTGTGCCGTGGCCAATTTGAAGGGAATTGTTTTGAAGGCTAGGCATGTGGCCGAGGCGGCGCTGTTTCTAGCATCGGATGAATCGGCCTATATCAGTGGCCAGAATTTGGCAGTCGACGGTGGCTTTACGGTGGTTAGCAATAGTTTCACCTCCTTGTAAGAGGGCTGCGGGCGTACCTACCTACCTATCTACCCACCCACCCTACCAGCTTCTATTCTCTTTTTCTAATATATATATATTAAATGTAAAAGAATGGAATTAAGTTTATGTATTTTTTCTTCTAGTCAAACCTTGTGAACAGCACTTGCCATGTGCTTTTCCTAGTATTATGCTAGTTTTATCGTTTTCCAGCTTTCGAAATTCATTTAACTTTGTCTGTCACTTGTCTGGATCCAAGTTTCAATCATCTCTATGTACTATTTTTTTCGGCTTTAAGTTCCCCTTTTTGAAACATTAGCCATTTTTTGCTTCCACATAATCTACTCTCTATGTTGAATTATTTGAGTTTAACAACTGGATGATGAGAGTCTTTAACTTAAATTATCAATTTGTGAACGTCCTAGATATATAGGCTACACAATCAACTCTTTACTTCTCTACACGAAGGCGCTTGCGTCATTGATCGAAAATTTGGTAGATCAAAGAATAAATAAGTAGACAAGAAAGGAATCCCTTCCCTCATACCATATTAGCACTTGGCTCAAGTCATTTATGGGAGAGGATCAATTATAACAAGTTGAACTTTCAAATTCAGGAGTTTTGTTCTGATACTTTCAAAAATCTTGAAAATTTGAGCGATAATCTTTTATCTTTATTATTGTTTGGACATTCAAAATGTTGTATCGGCGAAGAACATTCATTTTCTAGACTTGTGGTTGTATTTTTAGATTAATTTTTTAAACGTGCTTTATACATTGTATGATAGTATAAAAGAATTTATATTTCAAACAAAGTAATCACTTCAAATTTAAGATGTTTCATGTTTAATAATAGTTATTTTATAATATTCAATAATATTTATATTATTATATAATCTTACTGGTGACGTCAATAATACTTAAATACAATCACATTCACTAGATTATAATCACATTTTTCCGTCCCCTAAACTCAGATTCCCACAAATGTAAAATTATAACTGTAATGGGAAAAAAAGTGTCCATTAATTACCGGATATCATAACAACAGCACTAATAAAATTAAAATATTTGTAATTCAAGTCGAGAAAGAAAATTTTAACCCCCTGTGTAATATACACAATACTAGAATTAAATTTTAAATAGTTAAAACAAATTATATTTCAAAAAGAAAAATTTAGTACTGAGGCGAGTAACCAGATACAAGTGGATTTACATTTCAAACTCCCAAGGGTCCAGAATTTGTAAAAAAATAAAAAATACTTTAATAATAGAGCACATAAAGATTCATTTTTATTTTAATAAAACAAAAAAGAAGCCTAAGAACTGAAATTTTTAATTTAATTACCCTGAATTATTGATTATCTCGTAGCATTTGGAAAGTTCTCATCTAAGTTATCCATCTTTTTAGCAGTCTTTAGGGATTAGCCATAGACATAAGAGGTATTGATCATAAACTCAATGAAGAATTTAAAAATTTGTCAAGAAAAAATAGAAATCATTATTAATTTAATAAGTGACTATATATAATCAAATAACTTTTATTCAACTAAAAAAACTATAAACTGAATCTTTTTAATTTAAACGAATACCTTTAGAAAATGAGAGAATATTCTTCAATAAATGTGCACGTGAAATGAGGTGAATGATTTCTACTCACTTTTACCATGCGAAAACCGATTCATATAAACATCAATTAACTAATAACTTAATCATTATTACAAGATCAACCGATTCAATTTCCCAAAAACATTAAACTAAGCTCTTGTTTGATTCCTATTTTCTCAAAATATATACTCTCTCTCTCTCAATCACACATTTTTCAATAAAATAATATAATACGTAAATTCAAAATCTTGCATTATTTTTAACTATACATTATCTATTAATCAATCATTTCAAAATGCATAATAACTCAAAAAAGGGGCTCAAACATGTCCTAAGCCCTTGTTTGATTCTCATTTTAAGTGAAAGATTGCATTTTTAAATAGTGATTGATGGAGAGTGTGTGGTTAAAAATTAAAGAAAAATTTTGAATTTGCGTATCATATTATTTTATTGAAAAATGTGTCGTTGAAAATGAGTTTTAAAAAAATGAATTTTTGGAAGAATGGAAATCAAAAAAGGGCTAAATAATAATATTTTAAAAATTGAAAAGTACATCAATCATACAAAGCGAAAGGATCAAAGGGTCAAACCTAATTCAACCACTAGTTAGAGTATCTCAAAAAGACTTTCTATTTTTAAAGATGATATTCTATTATTTAGAGAGAATCTATAAATTTAGAGAGTAAAATTTTTAAAATACTCCAATAAACTCTTTATATTTAAAACTTAATATTACTATTCCCAAAAACTATTATTATTTTTCTCTATCTTTTATTTTAATTAATTTTTCTCTAGATTATTATATTATTTTGTTATATTGAAAATTGAAATAATTTGAATGCATTTAATTATAAAGAATGGATATGACTCTAAATTAAAATGTTAATTAAAAGAATCTTTAGGAGCATAATTTTAAAAGTTGACTTTTTAAAATAAAAATCGTATCATGTTCAAAGAGTCTCTTGAAAATGCTCTTAAAATTGTATAAAAGATATCCGATGCATATAATTTGCCTTGTTTTGGATATTGTTCCAACATCCAATGTTTAAGATCAGAAAGAGGGACATGCATACAGATTATAAAAAAGGCAATGCTCACGCGGGTTTTAGTTTTTGAAATCCATTTCCATTTTTGTAAATGGGTTGCTACATTTTTTAGCCCACTTATTAGTAATGGTCCAGCCTAGCCAACCCAAGTAAATCGGGTCCTTTTGATCCAATTAAATGAAGATTCTGGAATGGTTGAAAGCGTCTTTTATTTGTTTGAGCACTGGTGCGTTTTAAATGGATGTCTAACACTTGGTGTAATCTGGACTGTTGGATCAGCGATTGATCGTATTGCACTTAATTGGACTCTTCATTCTAGGGTTAGAGGCAGATTAGTTTTGCTTTGCAATCCCTCTCGTCTTCTTCGTGGTTGTACTCTAAAATTCTCTCTAAAAATTCATCTCCTTGATGATTTGTGTAATCTCTTTGTGGGATTATGGTGTACTGAGTGTAGAGTATTCTTTGTGAGTATTTTGTAAAGAGAGAGATCAAAGTTTTGAGAGGTTCTTTGTGTTCGAACCTTTGTGGTTCAGATCTGTAACATTCTTGCCCATTCTAAGGGCTTTCTTAGTGGATTCGAGCTAAATCCTTAGGGATTCTCAACGGGGATTAGGCGTTAACAACGGTCGCCAAACCTCGGGGCTACGGTCGAAAAATCTTGTGTTCTTGTTTTACGTTTTTTTACTTTCTGTTTACAAACCAAAGTCGTCTTTAACATAGGAAGTCTATATATCTGGGACCTATAGTGGTATAAGAGCTTTCGGAAAATCTTTTAATACGAACTGTGTTCGAAGAAAATCTCAGAGCTGGATTTTTTACCTTTCTATTCCTGGAAATTTTTGAGGGTCCTTTTCAAAAGAAAAATATAAGAAACTGGTTCTTGGTGTTTCTGAGTATTCTGCTGTTATATACTTGTAGTATTTGTGAGATCTTGGTACCTAAACGTTTTTTGAAAAATATAGGGTTTCTTCAAATCTCCCCTAACTCTACCTCTGTCTAGGGGTCCCTGAGAGAACCCTAGAAACTTTGAGGATTAGGGTTTCGATTCAAGAAACTGACATTTTTTTAATTTTTTTTAAAAATACGTTTTTCTGATTCTATTGTTAATTTGTTGTATATAATGTTATTTGTACTGATACTCGAATGTTGGTCTATTCAGGAAACTATAATTTTCTTTAGTTTGAGATTATTCTTCTTCGAAGGTATATTTGTTTCCTTCATTTAAACTAGTAGTTTACTGTGTGTAAGTCTATATGTCTTTGTGACTTACTCTTGAATATTAAACAAACCTGTGAAATTAGAATAATTTCTGACATATATAACTGTCATATTTGCTACTATCTTGAACCTTTTGGATTAGTTCATTGAACCTGCATAACTGTATACTGATTTATCTCATATTGTGAAGTGATAACTGTATACGTAAACTGCATGTATTGAATTCACATTGCTAATTGAGTATAAACATATGTGAGATTATCAATCTATTGCATACTGTTGTTTTCTCTCAAATCACAAGTTCCTATATAAAACAAATTGATCTGTGTGATACCTTTTAACTTGACTCTGAAATTCTTGAAAATAATTGTTACACTCCTGCACACTATGGCCACCAAAGTTGATGTTCCTATGTGGGATGGCAAAGGAGACTTTAGTCTCTGGCGTTAGAAAATAAAAGCACTTTTAATGCAATTAAAATGTGTGGAATCTATTGATGAGTCTTGGCCTGAAACCCTAAGTGAAGCTAGGAGAACTGAACAAGATGAATTGGCGTGGAGTACCTTATTTTTGCACTTACCTGATTCTGTGATTAGGAAGTTAGATGATACTGATACTGCAGCTGAACTGTGGAAAGCCTTAGAGAAACAATATCTGACTAAAACCCTACCAAATAAGTGTTTTCTATGGAAACAATTCTTCAGCCATAAGTTTGACCCTAGTATTGACTTAGAAGAAAACATGGATAGGTTCAATAAGATTACACAGGACCTTATAAACTGTGGTGAGAAAATCTTAAGTGATCAAAAGGTAGTTTGTCTACTTAATGCACTGGGTGATAGATATAAGGATATAAGGAATGCCTTAGAATATGGTAAGGATGATCTGACTGTTGATATAATTCATAATTCCCTAAAGAATAGGGAACTTGAGTTAAGATCAGAACATAAAGAAGCACTTAGTGTTGAAACTTCTCTACCTAACCCTAAGACTAAGTCCAAAGAGGTTAGTAATTTTAGTCAGGCTAATCCAAGCAAGAATTTTCAGAAGAAGAAATGGGGAAATAATAGGGCAAAAGATAAGAAAAACATTAAAGGATATGATAAGAATAGGAAGTACTATTATTGTGGCAAACCTGGACATCTTATCAAAGATTGTTTTAAAAAGGGTAAAGATCAAAGAAATGGGTCTAATCAGGGTGATAGTCCTTTTGCTAATATTGCTTCTCATAAAGAAGCATAGGCAAACATTGGTGTTGCCTATGTCTCCTCATATGAAAGAACAAGTCAAGATTGGGTTCTTGATTCAGGTTGTTCTTTTTATATGTGTCCAAACCTTAGCTGTTTTTCTGATTTTTCAAATCTAAATGAAG